GGGAAGCCAAGAGAAGGGTGTATCTAATCACAGCTGTAATATTAATTTCCTAAATTTTGTGAAGGTGTTTGTCTCCACTCTCACCACAGGTTGGAGAAAACTCACTCTTCAGTTGGTTTTACACTCACGTAAAGATGAGACATGGGCTTCAGCGTGTGACTGCATGTACTTACCACTTTAGGTTAAGCTGATATGCTGGGTTTATTTCAATTTTGAAGGTCAAAAGTGGAAAAATGCTTTGCCCAATTAGTCTGGTACTTCCTGCTAGTATTGTTTTTAGTTAAAATAAAATCCTACAGTGACGATTTAAAACACAAATTATAAAGAATCTGATTTATGACAATATTTTCTTTTAGATTTGACTTGTACATCTTGACTTTATTCTGTGATACACAACTTTTTTATTTCTACTCTTATCTTCATGGTTGCTGATTAAACTTACTAAACAGTGTCCGTCTTTGCTTTTTCTAGGCTTGTGGACTCACAGAAAGAGATATTGCTACAATTAAATTACTGAATGAAACTAGAGATATGCTAGAAAGGTATAGAGAAATAACCTGTATTCACATTAAACTCCTCACAACTATTGTTTATGTAAGACAATTACTTTCATATAAAAAGCTGTCAACTTTTCATTTGTGAAATGTGAGCGTTCTGCATTAAATTTTTACGTTCACTAATTGTAGGCTGGGATTTTCAAAAATCTGGGAGCTCTGAAACTTATTTGTAAGAAATAATCCTGCCTTAATGAGATAAACCAGGATGTCCTTCCCAGTCAGATCTCTTATCTGTTCCTCACCTGTTCTGTAGTTGTGCAGGAACAGAAGAGTACTTCTTTTCTGCCAAAGCAGGATAAATTGAGAGTGATTTTATTGGATTTATTTGATTTGATAAAGTGAACACCAGTATTGGCTTACTGGAATTTATTTTTAGTGCATGGTTTTGAGAGTGATTGTATGTGTACTTTTACCAGAGAAAGCTATCAAAGTGAGGCTTCTAGAATAAACACAGGATATGAGGGAATTGAGACAAATGCTAAACTATTCTTACCATTTAGCTGCTAGGGATCTGGGGCATTTTAAGGGTAAGTCCCTTCTATGTTATTACTTAGTAAGAAATAGAAGTGAGAAATGCTTTAGACTTAACTCAGTTTTAGGGTAGAGTCTGGGTTGTTGAAGGAGCTGGTCTTTGGTGAGGTGGCAATACTAATGGCATTTATCTGGGTTGTACATGCCCCCTTAGGGGAGGCACATCTGAGGCACTGAATACTTGCAAGGTTTTTTAGTTGGAAAACATAAAACCCAGGAGTCAAACCTTTTATTATTATTATTGTTGTTGTTATGATTATTATCATCATCATCGTTATTATTATTTATTTTCAGTCCGGACTTCAGTACGGTTTTGAGCACATGTTTAAACAGAGGATTCAGTCGACTGCTGGACAATATGGCAGAGTTTTTTAGACCTACTGAAAAGGACCTCTCTCAGAATGGCTCTGTAAATAGGTAAATATTTCCTTCTGTTGTGGTTCTCATGTCACTAGTGTTTTGCGTTCATAGTGAGTTCCAGAAAGCCTATTGATTTTCCTGCCTTCTTGAAGCTCTCATGCTGGAAATATTATTCTGCTTCTTGCTCTTCAAGAATCACTGCATTCTCCTGGTTTTGTTCAGGTAGACAGCTAGGAGGATTTCATGGGTGGAAAGAAACATGCAAGAGTATAGGTGAGGTATCTTTCTATCTAGAATTAGAAATCAGATGACCTATACCTTCCACTGTTTGCCTGAACACTGTACTGGCAGACTGCCTTTTGGGCTAGGTAGGGTTTACCCCACTGGTGGTGGCTACTGGCAGATGTGCTGCAGTACCTCCCTGTGAGGCCATGAGGAAGAGCCTTCCCCTGCAGCTCGCGAGCCCTGTGCGCCCCAGTCTCTGTCACTCTGGTTTTCAAGGAAGCTGGGTGGGCATTGCTGTGACCCTCCAAACACAGGGAGCCAAAGCATCCACAGAGCTCTAGGTTCTTTGCTGGTATGCTGATAAAATATAGTAACGCTCAGGATTTTCTACGTATTCCTAGAAGACAGCTTAAAAATAGCTTTTATTTCGAAGTTAGCTTTGGTTTTAAACAGTGAGGTGAGACTGTTACAAATTCAAAAGCTGAGTTCAAATCCTTGAAATATTATTTCTCAAGTATTAAAATTAAAACCTTGAATGTTTTATGTGTGTTTATTTTAGTAACTGATGGCTTTCAGAGGGTCTTATTTTTATTTAAATATATACTATTTACATCACTTAAAATACCCCAAAGAGTGTAGTTTGGCTGTCTGTCCTAAGCCTGGTTTAGTTTGAAATAGTGTGAGACTGTAGACTGGCACTTCTATCACCTGTCTACATACGCACACGTGTAAAGGTTCTGGCTAAACCATAATTTGCTTGCATGAGAAGCAAGTATGAAACGTTGTGTAATAGGAAGACCAACTGAAATGAGCATTAGTACTCCTCTATATTAAATGAAAGGCTTGACAGGGAAAAAAAACCTTTCATCTGTACGTTTTAGTTTGCAATTGTTGCAATTCTTCCTTTTTTAGTAGTAATTACCTAGAATTCTAATAATCAGAGTTTAGTGGTTTTACCAATGTCAGAGCAGTTCTAGGTCAATATTTTTTGGTTTTTTCTAGTCTTTCCAGTGTCAGTCTTCCTTTAGCCAAGATAATTCCAATAATAAATGGGCAGATCCATTCAGTATGCAGTGAAACACCCAGTCACTTTGTTCAGGTAAGGATCTTCCTTATTTACAGTATTCCAAGTAAAATTTCAAAATTAATGTTGTATATTTCTTTTTAATAAATTCATTCCTTTTACTTTCACTGGCTTTTAAAAAATGGGAAACAATTGGCATAAAAAGATTTTTGTACATTTATATCTTCTAAAAATATGCTGTTTTTCTAGAACCTCTTCCTTCTGTTGGACTGTGCAGATGCACAGACAGGTCTTTTAACTTGGTTCGACTTGCAGTTCTGCCCACAAACCTTTCTAAAGCAAGAAATTTGAGTAATGTGTCTGTGGAGGCACCAGATGTTTTTCTCATGATGAATTCTGTACTGCAGCAAAACCAGAATGGCGTTGGATGTGTTCAATTAAGCAAATTTATTTTTTACATTTCTTCCAGGACCTGTTGATGATGGAACAAGTGAAAGATTTTGCTGCTAATGTTTATGAAGCTTTTAGTACCCCCCAGCAACTGGAGAAATGACTCACACACTTTTAGGAATAGGTGGTGTATTTATAACAAATCCCTTGCAATTACTGGTGAGACTTGGATTAATTTTTTAATGGTGTAGGAGTGGCAGACCAGCAGAAAGAACACTGAGAAAAAGGGGAGTGAGCCCATATTTGTTCTAATAGAATTATGTTTCAAGCACCCATTAAAAGTATTCTTGTTGAAAGAATCATTGTATGTAAAGACTTTTCTATTAAAAAAGTCGTTAAATTCCTCTGTATTTAATTTGATTATTTTTATTGCATCTAAAAGGCATCTGGTGGCAGTATTACAGCAGGTTACTAAAAAACCCATTTGTTTGCCCTGGAGTGTGTAAGTTTTGGAAAGAACTAATGATAGTGATCTAAGAATAGCACAGAGTAGCAGAATGAAGTAATGCTTTTTGCTTCTTCTCCCCTCAAATTTTTCTTTTTATAAAGGAAATTTATTTCACTTAACTTTACAAACATTATTCCAAAGTCTCTTGTTCTTCAGAAGGCCTTTGCCAACAGATGCACGTTCCTCTTGAATGAGCTGGGGGCATGCTCTCTGTTACTTAATACTAAAGGAATGTGGGTTTTTAGATGTTCTCTTGTTTATGCTGTTCAAACAGCTACACTGTACACATTACCTTGTAAATATTTTATCTTAATTTGTATTAATTTTGAGCCCAATTGTCTGTATTGTAATAAAATATTTTAATGTAAAATTTGTGCGTGTATTAACATTACTAGTAGGAAAGGGAATAACCAAATTTGGCGCACCACTCAAAATTCTGACATAGTTGAAAGAATAAATTTAACTTACCTAGTAATAATTTTGCACTCAGCAACATTAGTCAGGAAAAATAAACCTTAAATCTCTACACTGAAGCAGAAACAATTAATGCCTTTTGTTGTGCTTTATCTCCTCCTCTTTGCAAACTTCACATTGTGTGTGAAATGGTGACACATGATGAATTTGGAAATTTTTCAAGTTGGATGCAGTCTACCCTCTGCTTAAAATGTTGTCCTTGCCAAAGTTAAAGATCCCTAGCAACTCCTGATTATTTCTCTTTTTTCAAGAGTTAAGTCATTGAAGTATATGTTTTGTTTAGTAGTCTGCAGAAGGCACCCTGGTAACTGTGTAAAAACAATGGCTGTAAACAAAAGTCAAGCTTTACCCATGTAAAATTATACAAAACAGAAAAAAAACCTTCCCAGTTTAGCTGTGTCCCAGTAATAGATAGAATTACTCAAGAGTAGGAACATGTAAAATAAATGATTTCCATGATGAGAAATGATGATGTACATATGCATTACCTCCATGCATTTGTGATGAATTCCTAACCATTACAGGCCTGTTCTTCCCAATGTTACCCTACTCAGTTGAAACTGCTAGCTATCAGTTGTTGTACACACCAGGAAAAAGTTTATTCTTTTCTCCAAAACTCAGCTTTTACTGTGCACTTTCGTGGAAGTTGGAGTTCTTGCATTAAAGAGGGTGTACAGCTGACTTACGTGCACCTGAAGACTGGCTTGAGCTTTGTTTTTTGAGCTTTGCCTGTTTCTCCCTCCACCACCCCCTTCCCCCCTCCCCATTCTTCACATAACTGGGCCAGAAACTGACTAAAACGAGTAGAGGGGTCAAGGTGGCTGCTCAGTTTTTCACACAAGTTCAGAGAAGCAAAAATATATTCAGAGGATCAGCTATCTCATGGTAGACTTCATGTGAAGTTTGTTCCATTCCTTTATAACAGCCTACCTTTCATAAAAAAAGTGAATTTATTGGTGTTTTTACAGGCAAGTAAGTTCAAAAACAGTGATGAGAAACAGCAAAACATCAGCATTCCCTGCTAGCCAGGTCTCCGGCAGAGTATCGCTCATTTTATGGCAGTCAGTTGTAAAGTCCAGCCCCACTGGCATGGCAATTGCTTAGGAGTTAATTGAGGTAGAGCTACAATCAGTCCCTTTTCTCCCAGTGCAACCCATTTCAGCAGTTCCTTGTAGCCAGCCAGCTTTACCTAAGATAGAAACATACACTATAATTAGAACAATGCCTTTTCAAAGTGCATATAATTGCAATATTAACAAAATAAATATTGATCTATAGCTACCTTTCTAACCAATTATCCTTAAATGCCACTTACCAACCAAATGAGTGATAATTATTAAAGGTAATGGAGAAATACTTGCAATGTCGAAATGGAAGTACAAGTAATAAAGCTAGTCATGTTGGGTCTTGAGAGGTACTTAGGGCTGTAGAAGGTAAACAAGCACCTTTCAGAAGTATTTGGGATGGGACTGAGGTCTAAGCAGGGATCTAGGTGCTACAGTACAGAGCTTTGTATCACCTATTTCTGAAATGCCTGCTTCCCATGGTGGAACTTGTAGTCTTGAAAGAGTATCACTGTTTCTTACAGAGTGCAGCCAGGTACCTCAAAAAAGCTGACCTGAATAACCCCCTCCCACTAAAAACACACAAACAGGTTTATGGTGACACACTGTCTAAGGCAGCTGGTGGCATCCTGGAGCAGCTGAAGCCCAGTCTCTACCACTGAGGAACAGTACTCTCTTGTGCACGTGGAGTCCAGCTGCATCTCCAAAAGTCAAGATGCATCTCCATTACTTTTCAAATTACTCTTTCTTCCTTATCACAGAGCTATCTTGGCACCTATTAGACTATTTTCACATGAAACTAGACCAGAAGCAGTTCTAATGCATTTCAGCAGCTAATGGACATGAAGCGCATGAGACCAGAACAGAGCTAAGCCAAAGCGAATCTCCCTCTTAAATGCATAGAGTTGATACCAACTTCTGCTTCCATTGGGCCACACTTCTTTCTAGAGTAGGTGTGGCATCAGTGTCCTCAATTTCTGACCTCCACTTGGTGGAAGACGAACATCTAGGGTCACACTGACTTACTTTTAGCCTCTCTGGCCAACAAAAAACCCTGTGTGCATTCCCTCTGTGCAAGGCTTTAACTTGAAACAACTGCGCCATTACAGCAACTCCAATATCACCAAAGTCACCAAAGTGAGGACAGCTACTTATAAAGCAAAGTCATGCCAAGCTAGAGTCTACACAGGAAACAGGAGAAGCAGCACAGTTTTTTCCCTGCTACTTGGCCTCTTCATGATTCTTAGTTTGCAAGCTAAAACATATCCCAGCAACATCTCAGTCTAACTTGGTTAGCTGGAGAAGAAACATCCCACCGGAAGCACTCACAACAAGTCGGTCTGAGAACTAAAACAAATATTTTGCTGGATCTCTTCAACATACTCTGTCCTAAGAGGTATGCATTCCTAAAGATGCCAGAAACTTAAATAAACATGATGGAACATGACAAATCCTAGAGGGAAGAGCACGTGTATGTGTGTGTGCGCTGTCTTTTACCTGTGTTTCTCCAAGCTTAGCCTGTGGCTCTCCAAGTTCCAGAATGCCAGAGACTGGCCAGTTAAGGAAGACAGCACTGACTGTCCCTTCTTTAGGGTTGAAAGTGTACCTGGTTGGAAATGGGGAACAGAAATGCATGTCAGTTTTTCCATGTAAATTTTCTGAAGTGCTACATAAGAGTGTTTCAAGATTAGAAAAACAGATTTGAAAAGTCAGCATTAGTTACATTTTCACACACATAACCATCTTTGCAGATGATTTATACCCTTTAATAAAGTACTGCTCCTTGAAAATGTGTTCCAACAAACTAGAGGTAATGAAAACTATTAACTGAATTCAGAGGTAAACATCTGTAGTAACTTTAGTACACATGTAACTCTCTGCTGCTCAGCCATATAGGAAGGAGATACTTGCAGAAGGGGAATCCTTAACAGAGAATTGTAGGTTATATTCAGAAAAACATACTAATTCACATCTATACACCAACATATGCACTACAAAAATTTAACAAGTATGTCCAACAATAGAGCTTCCACCTTGCATAGCTAGTTTTTGAAAATATTATTTTCAGCATATACTATCTGCACTATTGCCATTGGAAATCTTGTGGCATACCCCCGAAACATACCTTCCTCCTTCCTTCATTTAGTTACAACTTTTTATTGCTCTTAAAAGTGATTTTACTAAACAGTCACCAGTTCAGCATCTCCTGGCTAGAGCCAGATGGCCAAATTTTACTGGGAACAGGAGTAAAAAGGCCCACTGAGACAGAGAAGAGGGACAAGACCAAAACCCTGATGGATCATTGAAGCGTTACAGCAGCTACAAGTCACAAAGGCTGAGAGGAGTCCAGAAACCAGCTGTATTTAGTGACCAAACAATTGCTGTTATTTTCCCATGCATTTTTACCTTAAAAAAATGCAGAATATGCTAGACTGGTTTCTAGTTTCTTCCTCTCCCTTTTTTCTCTTTAAACATCAAGTATTCCTTTCTACAGATAGACACTTCATAGCAATTTTATATTTCCAGATTTGTATATTCTTTGTTTCTGTTGCCAACTACACTAAGAAGCACAAGATCACTAAGGAAACGTTTGCAGTCTTCCCTTCAGCCTCAGCATCATTCCCACACTACAGTCTCTACCTACAGCTTTATACATACTTCTGTGTGCAGTTACTTAAACTGACAAAGGGATTAATTTCTTCACCACATACAAACTAAGATGGTGACTTCTGTAGCATCAAGTCATTAAGAATTTCAAAGTTTCACATACATTGGTGCTGCTTTACATTTTGATTCGGTAACCTTACCACACTTCTGGTGTGACCGAGTCGTTCTGTGCTCTCCATGGTTTTGTTCCATAGATGGCCTCTCCATTGACCTCCAGCCAAGCACCCATCTGCCTCAGGCGCTCCTCGAATATAACAGCGATGCGACCATCGTGAGTGGGCCCGATATTCATCAAGAGATTTCCCCCACAAGACACTGTTTCTACAAGTTGCTGAAATGTTTTTCAACACACAGAGCATATGATTACGACTAATGAAATCACACATCTGAAGTACTTTCTAAAGTCTGCCATGCTGCTTCAGAACTATGAACCAAATGAATCAAAATAAAATTTAAGCTCCTGTAAAACAAAGCTCTGATGACAAGCTTTACATCAGAAAAAAAGCCCAAAATATGTTCTCGCACCAATATATCTGGCTGAATCTACATTAGAATCAGATCCTACACATTTTTAACGTTTTGACTGCTGCAAGAATGTCATGAGGGTTTTACCGATAGAACGGACAGATGATTTCTTTGCACCAAAGTAGAGTAAGGCTAACAATTGCCACTTTACTGAAGCTTAGAGAAGCAACTTCTTCTGTTCTTCCTCTGTTTGATGCTCTCCCTGTTTTACAGACACATCTGTAAAACACCAGGAAGCCTTCTACAGAGTCTGTAAAATTTGTGTTCACATCCACACTGCCCTCCACAGATCATGGACTGAGATGCACAAATCAGAGAAACACAGCTGGAGACAAGCTGCTGAATGAATTCAAACCTTTTGCTTCTGAAAAGAGGTTACTTCAGTTTGTAATTGTCTTTTGCAAGGACAGTACTAGAAACAGATTTAGATTAAGCAACAATAACAATCAATCTCCCCCTCACTAGCTGAATTTTGCAATTAAATGCATTTTTCTGAAAGGCTGATCATCTTTCTTTCATTCAGTTTTCCTAAGCTTCACATCTTTTTTAATATCTTAGACTAACAAAGGGAATCAATATTCTACTATGACCAGCTAATGTTTACCTGTATGTCTGTACAGAAAGTTTCTTGCTACAAGGTAAAATGACTATTGAGTCATAAACTAGCTGTAAAGGGGAAAAGATGTAGCCTTCAATCAGGAGTTCCTAACCAGGAGCCGTGAAACTGCAACTGTTTGCTTCTCATCAACTTAAAGGTGCAGTTACCAGAAAAACTTAGTGGAAAAGGTAATTATGAGACTGTCCAGATCAATCCTCGGCCAGTTACTCATAGGGGAAATGGCTTCTAAGAAACTCACTGAATTTCTACTAGATAAACCTTTCCCTTAGTAATTTCTATAAAATTATTAAGAATTAGAAGGACATTCCATCCTGTTAGGCTGCAAATGAACAAAATGGTTTATTATTTCATCGATTCATTATTCAATTAAAAGAATACTTTTTAGATAGAGACAAGTACACAACAGAAATGTCACACTGCTTAATATAAAAACTAGGAGAGAGAATCGGAAGTTGCGGGCAACTCCTCTGCCCCACTGTACCTTCACCAAGTCCTCGATGGTGAGGTAGTCACTGAGCTGCGCATCCCTGCGGTACCCCCAGGACCTCCTGTCGATGGTCATACAGTTCTCCCACTTGTGAGGCAGGAGGTGACCGGGGTTGTACCGGTCACTGCAGGTGTAGTAGCCGCCGTGGGTACAGATGCTGCCAACTCCCCAGCGGTCATTGGTTACAACTGTGTCTCGGACTGGGCTGGAAACAGAGAAATTTTATTATTTTTGTTCTGTAAAACGCAGTCACAGCCAGCGTAAACCCTTCCCACACACACCCCACCCAGACACTAACATTTTGGATGACTTCTGTACTACTCATTTAGAGATTAAGTGCAATGTGAGGAATTCTGTTCTCATCCTTTCCTAATAAAAGGTCCAGATGGGCATTTCTTAAGAAATATGTTCCAGACTTCTGTAGGAGCTCTGCCAGAAAACAACCTGCATTTCACATCCACTGCCAGATGTTCAGTCTACAACGAAAACAATGTACCTATATTCTCAAACTGTCCTTCTATTCTGTTTCTGTGCAGCAGAAAATATTTAGGAAAGGCTGTGATTATACAATACCACCTTAACTGATTAATTTGCAAATGTGTTCCAAAAATATGTAACAGTCTTTTTCTAAAGCAAGCTTTGATAATTCTAGGGAAGACCTGAATTCTGTGTTTCAGGAAAATGAATATTTTGTTAAGTCCTCTAAAGTAGAGGTAACAGGTTCCATAAAATAAAGTGAAACAAACTAGACAGAGAGCAGAATTTTAGATAGGGTGCTAAGGCAGTATCATTATGTACCTGTCATTATACAGCCAAGCCAAGAAACCAGTGCTGTTCCAGTAAGTATCTGGAGCATTTCCACTCCCATCAGACCAAATTATTTCTGGCTGGTACTTGGTCACAATTTCATAGAGTTCTGGTAATGATTTACTGGTTGGAAACTTTCTTGTCTTAAAGACATTGGTGGCATCCTCAAGGAAGAGAGGATTAAACCATTCAAACAGGGAATGGTATAACCCGAAATGCAAGTCAGTCCTGTTTCTAACAGATGCTGCTAGTTCAGCAACAAGATCCCGCTTCGGTCCCACATCAACAGCATTCCAGTTCCAAGAATATTTGGACCCCCACAAAGTAAAGCCTGAAAAGAGAAAAATTGAAGGATAAGAAAGAGAAGAAAAAGAGGGGAAGTTACAGTTCCTCTTTCTGGAAAGTGGTTTGGAAGTGTGTTGCAAAAAATAATAAAAATTATATTTGTAATAATATTGTTATTGTGGTGTAAACTGTCCCTATCATTGTGCATAAACAGATTATAATAGTCATAACATCAGAATACCATGCCAGATATGTTTATGTATTTTTCTATACATACACATATCCTAAGCAGTTCTGTACTGCTTAGGATAATTATTCCCTCTCTTTAGTTATTCACTTCATTCATATGTCCCAATTAAATTAACTAGATGATCTTTAAGGCCCCTTCCAACACAAACTATTCTATAATTCTATGAAATTAACCATAAATACAGCAGCTTTTGAGGCATATACGTTTTTGAAGAAAGTATCAATGTGAACTGTAAATACACAACTACTGGAAGATAAAACTCTCAGCTGCAGCAAGCACAAGCTATCATTTGCATTCAAAGACTCTCTTCTGTTTCCCTCTTATGCAAATGTTCACTTTTCATTTGTCTTGGTACTTATAGCAGCTCAATCAACTACTCAGTACATGTATATAAGCAGAGTGCAAAAACTCCTGAAACAGATTTTAAAATATCAACATTAAATATCAGGAGTCAGGAGGGATTTAACATTTCAGACATCCAGCAATCCTAGCACAAGCACTTAAAATACTACTGCACTGCAGACTCAGACCACTGCCAGACAAGCTACACTCTCACCTTCAAACTGCTTTAGACTCACTGCCTAATAAATCTTGTGACATTTTTGTGAACTGAATATACACAGTTGTATCGACTAGACAAACAAGCTAAAAATTCGTGCCCAAGGCTACAGGACAGACTAAATGAATCACTATTCTTTTGAAGATTCTTGGGAATTTCACCACAGGCATCATCAAAATCAAAATTTATGTGTATCAGAGCTGAGATAAAAATTTACAAGTCACAAGTTGCCAGTCTTGAACCCACATCTCCCCAAAGACCAAAACCATTCATTAGCTGTACTTGTCATATTGTATCCTATTATACTTTATTTGATACCAGATTTCCTTCCAGCCACTTTCTTTTTCTTTATTTTCCTCTGCAAAGCACCTTACAACTACAGTGCTAAAAATCAATTGTGCCTGTAAAGCTACAGACCCAGTTCAAGGTTTTGGTTTCTGTGAGCTACATCAGGAAAAGCTATATACCTTGTGAACCTTCCTAACTCTGAAGTTGACTCCCAGAACATACCCCTAAATTCCTTACAGAAACCTACTCGTTAAGTGCCTGCATACAGCAGCTCTCCATATGTTGAAGAGTGCAGAGTTCACTTTTATGGTTCTTTCAGCAATAAATTGCATTATGGCTACCGCAGGAAGCTCAGTTGCCACCACCACTTCAGGCTGTCTCACCTACAGCAAGAAAACAGTGGCACAATTTATTTCCTCCTATGCAAGCCCCATGACCTCAGCTTCCGTGTAAGAGTCAGGAAAACGACTGCACATTTCTTGGGTAGTTTTTTTCCTCTTTGGCTGCAGTAGGACAGGTAAGCTTGCCTGACTTTCTCTATCTATCTTAGCAAGCAGTAAAGTCACCTGCTTTTTTCTTCTGTTGACAGAAATGCAACAATTAGTAACATTCACAAAGCTTCCACTTACCTTCATGATGTTTTGAAGTTAAGACAACATATTTTGCACCCGAAGCCTTCAGAATATCTGCCCACTGGTTAGGATCAAAGAATTCTGCTGTAAACAGTGGCCCAAAATCTTCATAACGGAAGCCAGGTGGGTAATTGGCCTCCATAAATTTCACATAGGGCTCTCTCTTTTCCTTCTGCCAGTACCACCTACAAAATACAGAACAAAACATGTCTGCTAACGTATTTTTAGACAAAGAAAAGAGAGTTGAAATCATCAGCTCCTATTTGAGTTAACACTGAGAGGCAGAGGCATTGGAAGTACACGACACTAGCAATAGGACAAAATTGTTCCAGAACAGTATTAATTACCAAAGATTTGCTTTTCTCTATCCTATTTGTTCATGCTCTACATCTTTGAAGCACTCCACTTTGAAAAGGTCCCAGGATTTCATTTGAAGCAATGAAAAAAGCGGCTACACTTTGAGAATGGAAAAATGACAGTCTTGGTCAGTACCCAAATCCCAAAACCATACTAGAGAGCATGCACAGACAGTCCGTGTAAGCAGCCCATGTGGCATGAGAAATGCCCTTTTTCTGAAAAAATATGATTCATCCTCCTCAGGTCTCACACCTCAGCCAACAGGTACCTCTGCTCTGCCACCCACATTGCAATTCCTCCCACCTACAAACATGTGGACCAGCAGCTTTACCTTTCTGACAGTCCCAAGTCCTCTAAACCGAATGCAGTTGATTGACCAGATGCCCACAGTCCCAGGGCAGGAGAGAGCTGTGACCAGTGTGCTACAGCCACTGCACAGGTGAGGCTCTGAACCAAAGGCACCCTACTAGAAGCCACGTCCTGCAACAAAAACCTGACACACACTTAAAAATACACCTCTGTCACAGTCTCTAACATGCAGCACACATCTACCTACCAGGGCACTTGGATTTAGCAACTAGAAAGAAAAATAACCTCATGATCTCTTTTTGCCTTCCACCTGGCAAAAACAGGGACAGTTTCTATCCTCTGCTTCCCCAAGACAGTGACTGGTATTGTCTCTATTCCAACTGGGCTAGTCCACAGCAGGGCTTGGAGCTCTGCTCTGTGTTCAAGGTTGGTCTCTTGCCCTCATCATGAGCAGAGATCATAAATTACCAATAGAGCAATATTTATTTTCAACTTGCTCCCTTCCCTACTGAGCAATGAAAGAGGAGCTTCAGAAACACCACACAACAGTCCTTACTGCATAAACAGCCTTATTGCCAGACACCTTCTAAGAACAACATATCATGTGACTGCTAATACATACGAAGAAAAGGGTCTGGAACCATTCACCTTTCTGCGAATGAAGCCAAGCAGCAAAGATCCTGTTCTAGCAAGAACATACATGAAAACAGATAGTAAGTGAAGGAATAAAACAGGCCAGAACCTAAATGTTTGAAGTATGTTTCTCTCTCCTTTCATGAGCTGGACTCTGACCTCAGTTCTTTAAGACATAGTAACTGTCTAGATATTGTTGTAACCTTCCCAGACTTCATCATAAACTGACACAACCTCTGACAGCCAACAGGGAAAAAACTCCGAAGAAAGAGCCCAAGACAGCTTTTCTCACTGAAAGAATGGAGGGGTAAAGGGAGGGGAAGAGGGGAAGGAACACGAGGAAAAGGGAAAACAACAAAACAAAAACAAACGAACACCCCCCAAAAAAACCCAACCAACCTCTGATTTCAAAGTATGTAATTGCATAAATAAACTGTAATATCCTTGCTTCTCTTCCTTTATCATGTGGTTTGCTAACATGAGCACTTCCACGCTGACATGATTAGATTCTAGAAACACCCTTACCAATGCCATGCAGCTGCTGACAAAGGACCTCAGTCGTCTGACTGCACATGCTGCTAGAACGCCTGAAGCAGCTCTACACCCACACCTGCCTAAGGATTGGAGACTCCAAGAATATAAAAAGCAACTTCATCAACTACATTAGAGAGTTTTGAGGTCTTTTTAGAACAACAACAAAGACCAAATGCTTGATCTTGAATCTGTGCACCACTATCAGATCACAGCACTCAGACTGAGGCTTGAACCCAAACCTAGCTCTATCACCCCCCCAAAAGTAATTTCTTAGTAAATGGAGTCTGCCTTAAAAAACTGCTGAAATCCTTGAATATAACTCTGAACAACCCAAATATTGTCAGAAAACAGTTGTTTGTTTAGATCTATATTGGTTTGTTTTGTGAATATTGCATTTAAGGTTCACCACAGCTCTGCCACAGAGCTGCTATCTTCATATTTTAAATGATAACGTGACTCACTTGAAGTCACACAGGAAGTACTTGGTAGAGCGTGGAAAGATGAAGGCAGAAATATGCTTACAGCCAAAGGACCTGAACCAGTGAACACTCACAAAACAAAGGTTTTACTGAGCCTCTGAACTAAAATTACTTAAAGGATCAGAGCCTTGGACTCTTTTAAGCAGAAAGCAGTCCTGAATAATAATAATAATAAAGGAGAAGAAAACCATAAACAGCACAAAATGTGCACAAGAAAACGGCAGGCTCCTTGCTAAGTAAGGGCAGCAATGGGTTCCTGCACTCCCCGCAGTGCTCCAGCAGCTGTACCAAGCTGCTCCAGGGGATGGGAGAACCTCAACGCCTGTTCCCACAGGGGAGAACCCCTTCATCCATCCCTTCAAGGTGGTCCTGGAGAGATCTCCTGCCACTCAACCAACCACCTTTTTCACCAAGAGCAAATCACATCTCTCAGCTCTGTGAGATCTCTCCTTAATTTAGTTTCGTCAGTCAAGGTATTCAAGTTTCAGGTCTGAGCAGGCAGAAGGTCGGACACACCAGAAACACTTCAAACTGTGCTTCCTTCGAAAAGGCGCCATGGAGTCCTTGGCCTTGGCCGGACACAAACCTCTTCCCACACACCTGAGCTCCAGGGTCAGCCTGCAGAGGGGCTCTAACCCAAACCTCCGCTGTACTGGGGTGGACACACCCATCCCCGCCTGCCCTAGGAGCTGCTTTCCAAGCAAACCCCTCGGACCGCTGGCACGACCCGTCCGCGGCAGCTGTTCCGGTGCGACCGGACACCGCTCGCCGCAGCTCACCAGAACCACTCGCTGCCGAAGCTGGGCACCGAGAACACGCCCCAGTGGATGAAGACGCCGAACTTCGCCTCGTCAAACCAGGCGGGCAGCGGCCGGGCGTCCAGCGAGCCCCAGGTGGGCTCGTAGCGGGGCCGCGCCGGCAGGAGCGCGGGCAGCCCCAGCAGCAACAGCGGCGGCAGCAGCGCGGCGGGGCCGGGCACCCACGACATGGCGGAGGCGAGGCCGCGGGAAAAGGGCGGCTCCGCAGGGCGGGGGTCGCGGCGCTGCTCGGCCGGGCCGGGTCAGGCCGGTGGAAGGGGGACACGGGCGGGGCTAGGCGGGCTGTCCCCGCCCCAGCGTCCGCCCCGCCGGGCCCGCGGCCCGCCGGCCGGAGTGCAGCCGATCCGCACGGCCCCGGGTGGCGGGCCCTGGCTGTGCCCCGCCCGGCGCTCAGCCGCCACCGCTGCCCCTGTGCGCCTCCCTGCCTGCCGCCCGGGGTCTTGTCCCCGTCGGTGCCGCTTTATCTGCGTGCTCGATCACAGATTGCCCTCTGGATTTTAAGGGTTTTAAGAAAATGAAGTAATTGGCTTCTGCCTCGGCCGGCATCCCGCCGTACTTCCCTCGGGCCCCCGCGGCTCCTCCCCTGGGAGCACCGGCCTCCCCGCAGCACTCGCTCGAAAGTTCCTGCCGGGGTCTGCTGGATCTACAGCCGGATCCAGGGCTGAGCCTTGGATCTGCAGCCAGAGTCTGCTCCAGAGGCCGCCTCGGCAGCTGGCTGCTTTTGCCCTTCCCGCCTGCTTCCGTCCACGGGCTCAGCTTCCCTGCCCTTCCCAGGAAGGACAGCGTGTAGCATTCATCGCTCTGCAGCTCCTTCCAGCCGACTTGTACATGGTGGCTTCCAGGGTAGAGAGGTGCCCCAAAGCCTGTCAAGGAGATATTTCTTTGATCATTAGAATGGCCTGTGCTGAAGTGGTCTCGATTCAGTAGATGAAACTTGGCGTTTGTGATGCGGATAACGGGTGGCAGGCACGTACGTTAAAAGATGGATCATCCAGCAAATTAGTTGCCAGGGCTGGTGCTTGTCCAGTCTTCCTGATGCCCGAATTCTGTAGTTTTGCTTCAGCCCCCAGACATCATGGGACAGCCTTTGTAAAATAATTTGGTTTAATCAGCAAATACGAATGGAAATGTCTTTGGCAATGTCGTCAGAATAGCTGAAAATGAATGACGAGGCAACTGAATTAATCTCTCCCCAGCTGGGAAGGATGTATACTTTACTGCTGTTCTATGGAAACAGAGCTTCAGTTTCCAGAGCTATTAACCACAGTTGTTATATCTAATTCAAAAAATGTTTAAAGGGCTGTGAAAATAGGATGTGTATGATTTTGTAATATTTTCATTTATATACCTTGATGAATATATTAAGTTACAGGCAAGTAAAAACCATTGTGACTTCCATGGTATTATTTTTTCTGACTGACTGTTCACATTTCTCTGATTTACAAAAGCACTTTGATATTACAATAGGAGCCTCTTCATATCTCTTTTACATTCAGTGTTGACCGACTTTATGTCTTCTTTTGCCTTCACCCTTTTAGATGTCACTTTGCTCCTCAAAAGGAATCTTTAGATGCCTTGACCACTTGCTGTGGTATCTTTTCTAGTTTATCTTTCTGTTTCTTCATGTTCTCGTTTTTGATCACACCAAAGGATTGCAGACACTGAGCACCTCCTTAATGTGGGAATTTTCAAGCATACATTCTGAACAGCACAACAAAGTTACAGGTGCTCTGTGGCTCAAAATGTTTGTAAGGAAAAATGATTTATAAAAAGCTCAGGTGTCTGACCCAAAGCTCACTGACCTGCCATCAGGTTTGGAGCAGGAACTGTGTATTTCAATAATGAACTTAATCACATCTTCTAAACTTAAAAAAAAATAAATGTGGAAAACAGTAAATAGCAGTCATGAGTACACTTCTAATTAATGCTTAGACAGGTTCAGAAAATGTCATTAGCCCACATTTCCCAGTGGGGGAAAGTCTTCAGTGTACAATCACATCTGTAATGATGCAAGCTGCACAGGGTAAATAATAAAAATAGCACATTGTAAGATTTTGTGAATAACACAAGACTGGTGTCAGCAGCTGCAAAAAGCTCTCTAAGTCTGGGTACAGTGTGCCTGCCTGTGTGATGCTGAAGCCTCTGGGCTCCCATGGGAGCGTCTGTAAGCAGGGAGCTCACTGCTGTGCCCTTCCAGGGGAAGCCCCTGCCTCTCCCTCTCATAGCACAGTCCTGCTGGGAAAGTTCTGTGGCTAAGGAAGGAGCAGGCTGGTCTGTCAGCAGAGGGAAGGAGAGGGAATAATGAAGGCAATTCTCTGGGAGATGCTGTGCAGAAGAGACCTTTTGACCTGACTAATGGCTGACATACGAGACTCCTGTACTGGATCGATTGCTTGGACAAAGGATGCTTGCCTGCATCGTGTGACTGCTGGGAAGACTGCAAAACCACTGTGCCTGGGGAGCTGTGTGGGACTTGGCGTTGAGAGGAAGGCACTTGCTTGCCTGGGTGGAAGCAGAAACCAGAAACTGAATTTCACATGGACACGTTTCAGACTTGATAGATTTTGAGTCAGACACGGGGAGTGGTAGTTGGTAGTTGTGGCAGTTTAATACAGCCTGAATGCAACTTTCATGTTAGATAGCTGGATAATGCAGCACTGGACGCGTTAAAAATATGGGGTGCAGTCCTGTCTGTCTTTGCCATTGTGGCTTCAGGACAGCAAGGATTTTATTCAAGGTAGAATATAATATGATTTACCTGTAAAAAGCAGTATAAACATTAAATATCCTTTTAAAGATGCATCTTGTTGTAGAAGTGTTTCTGTAAAATACCAGAAAATGAAAGCACAGAACTTGATTTTGCTTCTGCTTAAGTCTGTGTGACTAAGGCAGGAGAGTACCTTCCTCCATGAGTTAGTGGAGTAAAGCAAAGCCTCTTGCGTGCAACCTAACCTTTAAGAAAGATAGGGGGGAGATGTTTGACTCATCGCTCTCCTCACTCTTTTGCAGGGGTGCGATGCCTTGTGCAACCTCCTGGTTTTGCGGGGGGAGGGCACCCTATTACACAAAACAGAACTGGCAGTGTGGTTTGCTTGGCTCTTTTTAACTGACTCTTTTTCTTTTTTTTTTTTTAAATGACGGGAGCGAGGAGCATGAAGCCACCCCGGGGAATGGGGGCATCCGCGCACCTACCCCTCCACTTCGCTTTGCTCCTGTGCAAAGGCAGATTTTATGTTCCCAGAGACCCAAAAGGTCGACGGCGTCCCTGCAGGGCGGTCAGAGGAGGGAGGCGGCTCTTCCTCTACAAACTTTCCCTGTCCCCTCCCTCGCCGCCTCTCTCTCTCCTCTTCTCTCCTCCCTGCAAGTCTAGGCTCCCGGTCGGCGATGGCTGAGAGGCCGGAGAGCAACGGGGCAGCACTGCTGCCCGTCTGGTCCTTGCCCGGTCCCCGCGGCCGCTCCCAAAGCGACATCTCCTCCTTCTCCTCCTCCCGGAGAACCTGTCTGCTGCGGTCCATCGTGGGCGGCTCAGGTAAGGGGGAGGGAGGGAGGGAGAGACCTCCAAGCCTAGCTGAACTAAAGAATTTGGGAAAAAACATCCTACTCCACACCCTGCCCAGCTCTCCCAGACCCAGGACACGGTGGCCAAAGTGTGTGTCTCTGGTTTACGTGCTTAATTTACTCCTTAAGATGATGTTCAGAAAGTTCCTGGCTTATCATACCCGTGTTCTCACACCTAAATGAATCCTGATAATGCCATGGGTACCCACCCGTTTGACAAAGCATCTTTGACTGCAAGGGCAGAAAAGTTCCAGGAAAGCTTCTGGGTGTATTGCCAGAACATCATAACTTCTCGTCCCACTGCTTCACACATTACACTTCAGCTGCATGTTAGAATTTTACCCCATGCACTTTTATCTGTTTCTTGATTTTCATTAGCAGGTGAGGCAAAAAAAATGGGTAAATCAATATTCCACCATCTTCCTTTGGGAGGTAACCACTGCAAGTGCCCATGGGATGATATGGGGGTGGAAGCTGGACGTTTGGGACAGAGTAGGCTTTCTGCAGGATTCAGAGTAGCTTTGCTGTGTTAAATGAGAGGAAGTGAGGACCCTAGTTCACAGTGCAGATATTTGAAAGTGGCCAAAGTCTCTGGACTGTGCTTTACTCAGTCTGTTTCCTGAGGTAAGGCATTAAGGAAAATGAAATTCTGGTCTCCACAGGGCTGAGTACATTTTGAAAATGTATACTTGCCTGGTTGCAAATCAACCCTGTATTGACTAGAACGAGGCTGTAGGCATATACATCCCTGGTGATGTAGATACTTTGAATGCATTCTCACACTACTGCACAGGACTACACCACCATCAGGGAAGCTCCAGAATGCACTGAGAGACATCTTCTGCTGCAGCACAAATAAGGCACTGCAGTGCATGTTTGAGTCTAAAATGGACCACAATGTCCTCTTATGTTTGCTCCTCAGGGAGTCTTAAGATAAAGCAGACCATGTGCTTGGGGAGGCTCAAGTATACAGGCTATGCCTGCCTGATGAGAAGAGTGGGAGTGAAAACTTGCTTAGTCACATAGGAGCAAGTAGATTCAACTTGTGGGGCCAGAGGCTGCAAGCAAAAACAACTGTATGTGCCAGTTTCTGTATAATTTTTTGCTCTGTCTTTTTCTGTGTCTACTTAAAAGTTAGTCCAGTGAAGGACATTAGGGACAGGGAGGAGGGAGGAGATTCCAGTGATTTGTCCAAATCAGAAAGGGCTACTTTTTGGTGTAAGGTGTATTTCAGCACTACCTGGAATAATATTGCATGAACAACGCCCTATGACTTGATGTGTACACCCCTGGATCCAGAGGGATTGACACAGAAGGATTGTCACAGAGGTTGGCAGGATTGAGACCATATCAATGTTATACTATGTTTTTTGTTGGCTTAACTACAAAGACTACTAACAATGAGCTGGGTTCATTATGAGAAACTGACAAATCCGATGGAAGTAAAATGATGGTGTTTTCAAAGATGTGTTGTTATTTGTAGTTTCTTACACACAACATTTAGGCCTCCCTGTTGCCCTTCTTGGTTTTTGAGGATTTGTCACTTCCTGCCAGTAAGTGACAAATGCTGTTTTCTCTGGTTTTTATTTTTTTAACGTATTTTCTTTCATTCTGTATTTTCTCCATTGCTGCTTCCTGTATCTTTTTCCAGCTGCTCATTGGATGCAGCAAAACCACATTCTGCCACACAAGTGTTGATTCCCTCTTTAAAAAGGAAAGTATGCATTAAAGATGCAAAG